CCCTTCCACTCTCTCTAAAAATCAATGGAAAAATATCCTTGGGTAAGGATTAAAAAAAATTTTTTTAAAGAAAATGAATAGAGCTAAGGGAACCAGAGGACACTACCAAGCAGACCAAGATAAGCATTACAAAAATCCCAGAAGGAGTAGAGAGAGAAAGAGGCAGAAAGTATTTATTTTTTATTTTTTAAATGGCTGAACACTCCCCAAATTTGATGAAAGACATGAATTTACACATTAAGAAAGTACAACAAACTCAAAGTAGGTCAAATTCAAAGAGATATACTCCAAGAAACATTATAATCACACTGTCAAAAGATAAAGAGAGAACAAGAGAAGTGACTTATCATTAAAGAAAATTTCAGTAAGATTAACAGCTTATTTCTAATCAAAAGCCATGGAGGCCAAAAGGTAGTCAGGTGGCATATTTAAACTGTTAAAAGGACTTTCAACCAAGAATTCTATATTCAACAAAACTATCCTTCAAAACAAAGGGGAAACTAAGACCTTTTCAGAGAAACAAAAGCTGAGTGAGTTCATTACTAGTAGATCAGCCTTACCAAAAATGATAAAGGGAGCCCTCTAGGATAAAATAAAAAGGACACTAGACAATAACTCAAAGCCATACAAAGAAAAATTTTAAATGTGTTAAAGGTAACCACATAAATATAAAAGCCAATATTATTCTGTATTTAATTTGTAACTCCTCTTTTTGTTTCCTATGATTCAAAAGACAAATGCTTAAACAATAATTATACTTCTATGTTAATTGGCACACAATATATAAAGATGTAATTTGTTATAAAAACAACCTAAGGAGGGAGACAGAGCTATATAGGAGTAGATTTTTTGTATACTTTCAAAGCTAAATAGGTATCAATTCAAACTGGATTGCTATAAACTTATTGTGTTAATTGTAATCCTCATGGTAACCATTAAGGAAATAACTTTTAAAATATAGAAAAATATGGAAACTCCTTCAATATGTTAAGGGCATTTATGAAAAACCTACGTCTAACATCATAAGGGTAAAGACTAAAAGTTTTACCCCTAAGATTAGGGACAAGACTAAGGATGCCACTTTTACCACTGCTTTTCAGTATTGTACTGGATGTTCTAACTAAAGAAATTAGGTAAGAAAAAGAAATAAAAGGTATCCAATGAGGAAAAGAAGTAAAACGACCAATACCCAGATGACATGACCCTATGAATATAAAAAATTCCCAAAGAATGAAAACAATAACACCAGAACAAATTAACACTTTCAGCAAAGTTGCAGGGTTATAAGATCAACACTTAAAAGTCAGTTATGTTTCTATATAACTGCAATGAATAATCTGAAAGGAAATTAAGAAACACATCAATTTATAACAGCATATAAAATAATAAAATATAGGAATAAATTTAACCTAAAATATATAGGAATAAAAATAAAAATATACAAGAAAAGCGCCTGGCAGTGAGGCTCAATGGTTGAGCATCGACTTATGAACCAGGAGGTCAGGGTTCAATTCCTGGGAAGTCAGGGCATGCCGAGCTCGATCCCCAGTGTGGGACGTGTGAGAAGCAGCTGATCTATGATTCTCTCTCATCATTGATGTTTCTCTCTCTCTCTCTCTGAAATCAATAAAACAATATATTTTAAAAATAAAAATATACAGGAATAAAAATAAACATACAGAAAAACTACAAAATACAGTTGACCCACTAAAAAATCCACATGTAAGTGGACCTGGGCAATTCAAACCCACATTCAAGAGTCAACTATAGCCGAAACCGGTTTGGCTCAGTGGATAGAGCGTCGGCCTGCGGACTGAAAGGCCCCAGGTTCAATGTAGGTCAAGGGCATGTATCTGGGTTGCGGGCACATCCCCAGTAGGAGATGTGCAGGAGGCAGCTGATCGATGTTTCTAACTATCTCTCTCCCTTCCTCTCTGTAAAAAAAAAAAAAAAATCAATAAAATATATTTAAAAAAAAGAGTCAACTATATTTTCAATCAGAGGTTGGGCATATGCATATGAGGAGGGCTGACTTAAGTTACATGCAGATTTTTTTTTAAATATATTTATTGAGTTTTTACAGAGAGGAAAGGAGAGAGATAGAGAGCCAGAAACATCGATGAGAGAGAAACATCAACCAGTTGCCTCCTGCACACTCCCCAATGGGGATGTGCCCGCAACCAAGGCACATGCCCTTGACCGGAATCGAACCTGGGACTTTTCAGTCCGCAGGCCGACGCTCTATCCACTGAGCCAAACCGGTTTCGGCTACATGCAAATTTTTGACTCTGTGGGTGGTTGGCACCCCTAACTCCCACATATTCAAAGGTCAACTGTACTGCTGAAAGATATTAAAGACGACCTAAGTAAATGGAAAAGCATACCATGCTCATAGATTGGAAGACTTAATATTGTTAGAATGGCACTACTATCCAATATGATCTAAAGAGTCAATGCAATCCCTATCCAAATTCCATTGGCCCTTTTTTGCAGAAATAGAAAAGCCAATCTTTAAATTCACATAAAATTTCAAGGGGGCTCAAATAGCAAAACAATCTTCAAAAAGAAGCCAATTTCATACTTCTCAATTTCAAAACTTAGTACAAAGCTACAGTAATCTAAATAGTGGTACTAGCATAAGGACAAATATATAACCCAATGAAATGGAATTGGAAGTCCAGAAATAAACCCATATATCTATGGCCATCTGATTTCCAACAAGGGTGCCAAGTCCAATCAATGAGGAAAGACAGTCTCTTCAAAAAATGGTGCTAGAATAACTGGATATCTACATGCAAAAAAATTTAGTTGGATCCTATACTATATACAAAAATGAACTACGAATGAATCAACAACCTAAATAAAGAGCTAAAACTATTAAACTCATAGAAGAAAACATAGGGGTAACTCTTCATGACCTTGGATTTGGTAATGGATTCTTAGATATTACACCAAAACCACAAACAAAAAATAGATAAATTAAGATATTTTGTGCATCAAAAGACATTATCAAAAAAGTGAAGCTGTCAGCCAACATCATACTCAATGGGCAAAAACTAAAACCATTTCCCCTAAGAACAGGAACAAGACAGGGATGCCCACTCTCACCACTCCTGTTCGACATAGTACTGGAAGTATTAGCCATTGCGATTAGACAAAAAGAATAAAAGGCATCCAAATTGTGTTTTTTTTATATGCACCTTATACTTCAACATAACATTTTATTTTTAAAGTTATTACTATCCAGCCAGCGTTGTTTAGTGGCTGAGTGTTGATCTATGATCCAGGAGATCACAGTTCGATTCCCGGTCAGGACACATGCCTGGGTTGTGGGCTCAATCCCCAGTAGGGGGTGTGCAGGAGGCAACTGATTGATGATTCTCTCTCATCACTGATGTTCCTATCTCTCCCTTCCTCTCTCTGAAATCAATAAAAACGATCTCTCTCTCTTTTTTTTTAAGAAACCCAAAGGGAAAAACATTATTCTAAAAAATGTTCCCTTTCCTCCTGCCCATCCCCCAGGTCAGCACCTCTTAAAGCGGGGCTTCAGACACAACTGGAAAATGGAGGTCTAAGCAGCAAACCAGGGACTGGTTAGTAGGTGAGTTATAGTGAGGGATGAAAGCTGTGACCAATTCCCTTGATTGCCCCTGACCCGAGGAATGTGGTAGCTGATGAGAAGCCTATCTTGGGCTGGAGCACGGGAGATAAAGTGGTGGTGACAAAGTGTTGGCAGCCTGGCACTAGGCTGTTTTCTGTTGCTTCATCTACAAGGTCATGCTTTAGGAATGAGTAGCCCTTAATTGAGTTCAGCAGCAAGAGCCCCCAAGATACTCCTTACCCTTTACTTCTTATTCCATTGATGCCTTTGTTTGTACATTTTTAAATATTTGTAATGTTATGAATATTCCCAAAAGTTACCCAAACCATACACTTATCTGGGCAAAAATTAGACTTACAAGACACTGAAAGTGCCTGGAATTATATATGGGGAACAAAACTAGGCTACTATTTTTAAGGGTGAATCTGGAGCAGGAGCTCAGACATAAATGAACCTAGAGTTTATAAAGGACTTAAAGCTCAGCTAAATTTTGTTTGGTTCTGGTTCTCATCTTCACTGTGTCCCTAAGCCTACAATCCCCAAGCACAAAAGAAGGACCCACTGGCAATTTGGATGGAGAGAGTAAGGTATTTCCTTGGTATTCTGAAATGATGCTGCTTGCTTCTGTGTACCTAATGTTTTAATGTATGTAGGAGAGATAGTAAAACTGATTGGAAACTGGTTAACAGCTGAAGTCTGAAGTTCAAGGATTATTCAAACACCTCCTTTGTGATTGTATGCCTTTCCTTGAGCCCCTTTTGTCTACTCATACTCCTCCTCTAAGGATATACCAATTTTCTACCTTGATTCTTGTATGGACCAGTAAAGAAGTCTGAAATCAAGATATGAGATGTTCTCCTTGCCGGGAACACTTGGATCCAAGGCCCCGGAGGCATAAGACAATCTAAACTACACATCTTTAACATAAGTATTATGGCACAAAATGATTGATGGAAGTTAGAAGATGATTTGAGATGAGGAGTGGCAAGTTTAAAACATCTCTCTCCTATGCCTCTCTTCATCTTGTTCCTCCTCTACTGACATGCTATATAATAAAAGGCCAATATGCAAATCGACCAAACAGAGGAACGACCGGTCACTATGATGCACACAGACCACCAGGAGGCAGACATTCAACACAGGAGCCGGGTTCACAGCTGGCAAATGCACCGGCAGTAGCGGGAGCCTCTCCCGCCTCCACGGCAGTTGGACATCTGCTGAGGGCTCCCAGACTGCGAGAGGGCACAGGCTGGGCTGAGGGCCCCCCACCCGAGTGCACAAATTTCATGCACTAGGCCTCTAGTACATACATATTTGCTCACCCAATTCACCATTTACTAGTAGCTAAAATGACAGGACCTCCTCCACAACCCACTCCTGCCCCAGCAGCCATACCCACCTTCTGGAAGTCAGACTCTAGAGGTGACTGCCTATTGGCCCCAAGGACACTCATCATTTCTGTGGTACCTGTGGCTTCTATCACTGGGGCAGAGATGTCTTCTGTAGTCCTTCCTTCTGGAAATCTGAAGGCTTCTGCAATTACTCCTGAAAAGAAAGGAGGATAGGTAGGTGAAGGGTCAGTAAATGTCATCATAATTTATCCTTACGTAGGTATGCTATAGGAGGGCTGGATAGAACTTTAGCATGGGCAAAGTAGCAGAGAGATAAGAGAAAAATAATACCTTAATATGGTTGATTTTATCTCTTTGTTTTCTTTCTCTACATCCTCTACCATTATTTAACGCTGACTCCATTTTTACCCTGCTCATTCACTTCCATTAAGCATGCTCATTTCCCTTATTTTCTACAAAACTCCTTTCTTGCCTGATCCTCAACAAGTAGAAGAAAAAACCGGTTAAGCTTCCAATCAATACATCTGGATATGAGTTGTCTTTTTGCATGCAACAAAGACTTTGTGATATATAGAGTACCTTTATTAAAATAAGCTTTGTGAAAACAGGAATCCTGATTTATGTAATATAAATCCAAGTGCTTATACAGCATGAAAGGAAATACATAACCAGCTCAACAGACGTCAGGGCAGGAGAAAGGGAACAGAAGAGAGGAAGAAAAAAAAATGGCTTTCATCAAGAATAGAGATTCTTAAAGAGTGTGTTTTGCCCAGCCTTGATGGGAGTTAGAGGAATCTAGGGAGTCTTGAGGGAAAAGCAGCAAGACCTATTTTTAATGATGGAAAACTGAGAAGAGGAGTGAAGACAGGAATGCACTGAGTGGGAGACACACAACTTAAAAAAACAATTTTTTAATATATAAAGTATATAGAAGGAAAAAGAAAAACCTGGCCTATCATTCCACAGCACCAAAAAACACTTCCTGACATAAATATTACATATTTTATATGTGTGTATACATGTTTTGTGTATAGAATATTTTATTTTATATAAATGCATTTCATGGTCAGAATGTTTGAAACAAAAAAGATACAAAATAAAAAGTGAAAGCATCCCTCTTCCAAAAGCAACCTTTTTTGGTTAATATTTCTGCTTCCTTACAGAATAAAATTGGCAGCTTGATATAGTTTTGATGAGGTGACAAGATGATGTTGAGCCATAAAGGGCTGAATTATTCCTTCAGCCAAATCAGAGAGATTTGGAGTTTGACCAACTAACTTCAACATGCCTATAAAATCTGGCTGGAAGGAGAAAGGGACTCATCTGAAAATCAGAGTCCCCAAAGCCTTTTATTGCTAACTCTAAGGTCAGTTTACCCCCATTTCCCATCCTCAATTTTTCTTCTAGGAGTTTCAGGGCCAGTGTGTCCCCCTTCTGGCCTGGCACCACTATTCCAGAATGCTATTGAAATGAAGGGGTCACTGGCAGCCTTGACATGCACTCATTGTAATAGACAGTGCTTTGTATATAAAGATCCAGGACAGAAGCAAGAGGACAGACAGCTGGCTTGTGCAGTATTAAGCATCCAACAAATACAATCAATGTATAGCTTTTACCCACTTATAAATTACTAAGTATTAATAATCAGTTAATAAAAAATAGTTACTATTACCACATTGCTTCTATTTTTTTTAAATCCTACCCGAGGACTGTTTTGTTTGTTTTCATTGATTCCAGAGAGAGGAAGGGAAAGGGAGAGGAAGAGAACATGTATGGGAAAGAAACATTGATTGGTTATGCGCCCCAACAGGGAATCAGCCCACAACCCTTCGGTGCACAGGACAATGCTCTAACCACCGAGTAACACCGGCCAGGGCCCCACACTGACTTTTTAAATGAACTTTTATTGCGCACTCTTTTGTGCCAGGCAACTATGCACTGTAAATACAATGGTAAAAAACAGTAAGCAATGACAGACTACTTTGGGGAGTTTGTAATCTAGTTGAGGGGAAGGGAGGCAATATGAATCAAAGAAACACATAAATGTCAAATTACAATCCCATTAAGTGCTACAATGAAAATGTACATGGTCTTTTGAAAATGTTTAAGGGTTGAGGACAAATCAGGATGGTGACTTTTTTTTTTAAATGTATTGGTTGGTTTTAGAGAGAGAAAAGCAGTGAGAAATATCAATTCGTTGCTCTACCTATCTATGCACCCACTGGTTGAGTCTTGTATGTGCCCTCACTGGGGACTAAAATCAGGACAATGCTCCAACCAACTGAGCTACCCAGCCAGGGCAGTGTTTGCTGTTTTTTTAAGGGCAAAAGATTCATTGTAAGTTCAACAGCTTGGCTTATCAATGAATATTGTTACTGTATGCATATTTTTTATTTAAAATTACGTAAACATTACTGCAAAATTAAACTCCACATAGAAGAAATGTGCTCACAACCCCAAACAATTTTCATTTGTCCATTTTCTCAAAAACTTGTTAATAAATGAAAATCTTGCTCATTAGATTCTCATCCTGGTCTTGGTAGGTAAGCTTTGTTGAAGTGAGAACCAAGTTTTAGGAATGTGTTTTTAAAACCCCACCTCACTTCCTTTTATGCCATTTCCTCTCTGAACTCACCTCTACCCTTTAAAATATAAATACTTAACGTCCCCATTGGATGTCTGTATACTGTAACTCCAACCCCCACTCCAACCCTAAATACACACACACCTCTCCCCATTCTTCCTCAATCCCTGAACCTGGTAGTCTGGTAAATGGGCATATGTTCCGTCATGCTTTACTACCAAAACATTAGATAACTTTTTTACTTTTTATATTTTTTTAAAGAGATGGAGTGGCATGAAGTAAAGTGGGAATACTTAATAGAAAGGTTATTAAGAGTATTATGTGCCCTGAAGCTAGCTGTGAATAGGAGAAAGATGGCTTATAAAACAAGAGGTCTCCATTCACAAAACCAAGGGAAATTTTTAGAGAGTTATTTATACAACTTAGGTAACAATTAAGTGTTTGACCAAATTTAAACCTAACTGCTCAATTGTTCTCACAGTTGAGAGGATTCAATAAAAACTGCTTCTGATGTTTGCAGAAATTTAAAAGTTATATTCCATAAGCCACATGTTAAGATTAGGGACACTCCCTGCGTGTGCCTTTGTCTACTAAGGTAAAAATGTGTTCCATACCATCATGGTACTGAAACTCTAGGACAGTGGTTCTCAACCTTCCTAATGCCGCGACCCTTTAATACAGTTCCTCATGTTGTGGTGACCCCCAACCATAAAATTATTTTCATTGCTACTTCATAACTCTAATTTTGCTGCTGTTATGAATCGTAATGCAAATATCTGATATGCAGGATATATTTAGGCGACCCCTGTGAAAGGGTCGTTCGACCCCCAAAGGGGTCGCGACCCACAGGTGAGAACCGCTGCTCTAGAAGCTAGTGACTGGGTTAGAGTTCTGTCCTTTCTTTCACGTGGCTTCTCTGGGTGGGCTTCAAAGCAGATCCCACTGACTAGAGGAAGCCAGCAACACTTCCTGCCCAGACCACAGAATCCTAAAAGCTCTCTCTCTGCTGGTTTCAAGGCAGATATGAAGAATACTGTTGCTTCAGCTGTTATAAGGAGCATTATTCTAGAAAAACTTTGAGAATGGCAGATGCCTTTAGCATAAAGCTTTAAGTTATCAAGAGAGTATAAGAGGAGTTGCTCAAAGTACTCCAGCCCCAGCTACTTGAATTAGTTCTGCCCTTCCTAAATTTTGCTTCTCTTCCTTCCTTTCCCTTCCCTTCCCAAGTGGTCCCCTCCTGACCTGGAAAAACATTCTACCTCCCTCAGAGATGAAGTGAGGTTAGGAGTATATTCTGGATAGGATTAACCCCACGTCACTCTTTCTCTAAACTTACCCACCTTTCCCCAAAGGGTGGTGGAACTTACCACAGAATCCTAAAAGCTCTCTCTCTGCTGGTTTCAAGGCAGATATGAAGAATACTGTTGCTTCAGCTGTTATAAGGAGCATTATTCTAGAAAAACTTTGAGAATGGCAGATGCCTTTAGCATAAAGCTTTAAGTTATCAAGAGAGTATAAGAGGAGTTGCTCAAAGTACTCCAGCCCCAGCTACTGAAAATCAGTAACAATTGGCATTTTAAACTTTTATTTTCTCTGAAGATAGCTGTTCATAGCTAGTCTTCTGAATCAGTCTGGTTTCCAGGCCAGAAAAATGCATTGAATTCAGGCTTCAGCCTAAAAAAAGCAGCCCTAAACAACTACTCAGGAGGCCTAACCAGTGTACACATTTGGTGCTGAGATGGAGATAATAATCTTCATCTTAAAGAAGGGGGGAGGGGGCTCCCTGTCGCATCATGAGGTGAAGTAACATGTCCCAAATCACAGCAAGGCAAATGGCTGAGGAACATTAAAGAACCTAAAATCTGTGCCCTTTCCACAACATGAAGAGAGGCCAAGACAACTTCGAAATAAATATTAGTCAAGGCTCTAGAAAAAGCAAATAGTCCCCCAAACTCAAAGTAGGGATTCTATAGCTCTGCACACAAGGAAACAGGGACAAAAAGAATTCTTAAGAAAAAAGATTAGCAACTTTGCATTATTTTTGAGAGTTGGGGTAGGGGAGGTTGGGGGAGAACAAGACTCTGAAGCCTCTGTTGAGAGTTTATAGACTGCTGACAACTGATGTTAGAATACCTGAGGACCAAGCTCCCTGATTCCCAAGAGCACTCTCAGCAAGAACATGAGTGTTCTTGGGGAAGCTCAGTTCCCAGAGGAGCATAGGGAGAGTCAACACAAGGTTATATAAAAAGTTTCACAAGTTTTGGAAGATGCCAAAACTAGACCACTGTCCACTATTTACTACCCATCTAGGCAGCACTGGAGCACAGACTATAATCTAACAATCTGACATAAAGAAAGCCCTAAAAAACTGGAGGGAGTATAGAAAATAGAGCAGTGGGGATTCATTGCGTTAGTTTTCCTGTGGATGTCAAATGTGTGTGGTTTCAAAACAAAAATCCAGAAAGAAACATGAGATTAACACATTTATTCCAAGTAATTAACACATTAAAAATAAAGTTAAACTTGTCCAAGCCAACTCATAAATTCTTTAATCTTTTGAACAAAATGTACAACCCAAAACATCACACTATGGTGGAAATAACTTG